CAGTGCTCACGGCTCAGGAGGCTAACCAGTGCTCACGGTTCAGGAGGCTAACCAGTGCTCATGGCTCAGGAGGCTAACCAGTGCTCATGGTTCAGGAGGCTAACCCATTGCGCGTCTTACTTGTTCATCTGTCAGAATCTGCACGTGACGATTACAAATGGCCCTGAACTCGTCCCTGGAGGCAGTGTTGGTTTTCATGCTGTCAAAGTTCTCAAACTCCTGGGCGATGGCATTGTAGTGGGTGGTCACTGCTTTGTGGAGACGGTCCAAGATGTCCTTCCTGCCCATGTCCTTGGGTGGTGGGGAACTGGGTGGTGGTGGGGCTTTGGGCATCTTCTCAGCCCACTCAGAAGCAGTCTGCACAAAACAAAATGGAGAATTGGTCCAATTAATAAAAAATAAGCCCTGAAGCAAAAAAGAAAAAGGAAACCATAGACTCAGAGAAGAAATCAGTCCACAGGACTAACAGTCTACATGAAGCACGGCCTCATCTACCCTGAGACCAGAAGAACTAGATGGTGCCCAGCTACCGCTACCGACCGTTCTGACTAGGGCCCCAATAGGTGGATCCTGATAGAGTGGGATAAAAATGTGGAACAAAACCTGAAATTCTTAGAAAAAGAAACAGACTTACTGGACTTGTTGTGACTAGAGGGCTCCCCGAGACTACTGCCCTGAGATACACTTTAAACCTTGAACCGAAACTAGCCCCTGAGGTCACCTTTTAGCTAAGTAACAGACTGGCTCATAAAGTAAAGAATATCACCCACGAGTACTGTGCTTCTTTAAAAAATTATCTATATGAGACCAAAGGGTCAACAATTACTTTAAAACAAAGATGACAATGTAAGGCAGGGAAACTAGATTAGAGGAAACGGAACAACCAGAACAGAAGCAATGAGATTGTTCGAGTATTGTGAAGAACATAATCAACTCACTGAACAATTTGTGCAGAAACAGCTGAATAGAAACCTAAACTACTGTGTAAACCTTCACCAAAACACAATGAAATATTATAAAAATAGTAATAATGAATAATAAGTCACACTTGGCTCTGGGCCCACTGCCCACAGCCAGGCCCAGGGACACCAGCTTAAAGGGGAAAACGAGCAAGGAGGCAAAAGCATGCAGAATGAAAACAGTGTCTATCTGTGGACTTGGATCTCCCTGAAGGTGGAAGCCTGGGTGCGCCCGCCATGGAAAAACAGCAAAAGTGGGTCTGTCCCATGGGCCAGGGCAGTGTCCAGGCAAGGTGGGCTCTTCAATGCTGAGCCACACCTACAGGCACCTTTGATTCCCATCCACTCCCTTGCTCAGGCTGTCTGTGGTCTGTCTAACAAACCCTCCGTGAGTGCCCGTTCCATGTGGAAGGGCACTGTCATGGACTGAATTGTGTTGCCCCAAAATGTGTGTCAATTTGGCAAGGCCATGATTGCCAGTATTGTGTGGCTGTCCACCATTTTGTCATCTGATGTGATTTTCCTGTGTGCTATAAATCCTAACCTCTAGGATGTTAATGAGGCAGGATTAGAGGCAGTTATGTTAATGAGGCAGGACTCAATCTACAGGGTTATGTTGTATCTTGAGTCAGTCTCTTTTGATATTTAAATGAGAGAAGCGAGCAGAGAGGAGTGGGATCTCATGTCACCAAGAATGAAGAACCAGAAGGGGAGTGTGTACTTTGGACCCGGGGTCCCTGCATTGAGAAGCTCCTAGACCAGGGGAAGACTGATGACAAGGACCTCTTGCCAGAGCCAACAGGGAGAGAAAGCCTTTCCCTGGAGCTGGCACCCTGGATTTGGACTTCTAGCCTCCTAGACTGTGAGAGAATAAATTTCTCATGAAAGCCATCTACTTGTGGTATTTCTGTTATAGCAGCACTAGACAGGCATCCACAGGGGTGTGTGTCTGGACTAATTCATTTCAGGCCATCTGTGTAGCTCATTCATTCACAGCAGTTAAAATCTGAGGACAGTTAGTTGTTACATAAGAAGCCCTGGTGGTGCAACAGTGAAGCTCTCAGCTGTGAGCCAAAAGGTTGGCAGTTCGAACCCACCCAGTGGCTCTGCAGGAGGAAGACCTACTGATCTGCGCACATAAAGGTAATAGCCTAGGAAACGCCATGGAGCAGTTCTACTCTGTCACATGGGGTCACTGTGCATGGGAATCGACTCGATGGCACCCAACAACAAGCACACTCATTACACTGTGCTGCAGCCCCACTGTTAGCACAGAGCACTCTTCAGTCTTAAAGTCCTCCAGACCCACAGGGAGTTCGTGATACGAAGGGCTGGAAGACACGCTGGAAGCCGCCTCCCCGCAGGGACCACCGGTCTCAGACATGCTCCCCGGTCAGTGATCCACACCACTCCTGGGGCGGTGGAGCCTGGCGTTGGGAGACGGGTCTTCATGACACCCAGCCCAGGGTTCTGGGGGCCCAGAGGAGGGCACGGACCTCAGCCTGGGCTCAGGGGCCTCTTCCTGGGGGGCGGAGGAACTGGCTGCACCGTTCAGCTTACTTGCTGGCAAGAGGGCTGTGGAAAAGTGAGCTAGGAGGGGCCAGAGGGGGCCAGGACCACACTGTCAGGGATGGAAGCAGAGGGAAGGAGCCCAACGACCCTCTCAGCAGGACTAAGGAGACCAAGTGGTTAGAGAAGGTGTAAGACAGAGTAGCGGCGGGTCCTGCCTCCACTGCTGACTAGGCTAACGTCTCAGGGCCTCAGTTTCCTCATCTATTAAATGCGGGCGTTAACACCCTTCCCATCGGCCTGCAGTAAAGAATAAATAGAATGACAGACCGTCTGGAGTGTGGAGTGCAGCCCACAGCACATGAGCAGCTCTCAACAAATGGAAACAATCCTATCCCCTTCCTCATCATCACCATCTTCATCATCACGAATGGTGGCAGTGTTGCAAATACCAGGGCCCGGGGCTGTGAGGGGCCGCCCAGAGGCTGGAAGTGCGCCCCTTTCCCTTGCTTGCTATTCCCGCTATCCCATCTGTCAACATTGCGTGATGGGGGGGGTGGTCTCTGTGCTTATCTTGGGGCCCGTCAGGAGGCGGCGCTGGGGAGAACGGGCTCCATGCCGAAGTTGGGCTGGGAGGTTGGGGCCCAAGGGACGAAGCAGGTGGCGGCAGCTGAGGGAAGAAGGGCAGCTGAGTTCCAGGGCTCCTGGAAGGGACAAGGGTCAGGGGAACGGGTAGGGCCAGGAGGCAGCCCTGGCATGCGTCTGCTCGCTGCCGTCAGAGAAGGGCCCCTGGAGCCAGGCCTGTGGTTGCTGTACCAACAGGTCAGCTCCTGGAGTATGAGGGAGGGGTGGGAGATGGGGTGGGAAGGGGAGACTGGGCTCCATGAACACCCAGGGTGACAATGTACGAAGTGTGTCCCTGTGCCTGGGTGTACTCTGAGAGATGCTGGGCTTCCCCATATCAACACCCACTGTGACTGCTAGCTATGACAGGAATGTTACCAGGTTATCACATCTAGTGATCCTCCCAACAAGTATTAAAACTTGGTCATGTTTTATTTCAAGCAAGTCCACAGCTCTGTGTGTGTGTGTGTGTGTGTGTGCGCGTGTGTGGTGCAACGGCTAAGCGCTGGGCTGCTAATCGAAAGGTTGAAAGGTCAGCAGTTCAAACCCACCAGCGGCTCTGTGGGAGAAGAGACCTGATGACCCGTTCCTGTAAAGATTTCAGCCTATGAAACCCAATGGGGCAGTTCTACTCTGTCCTGTAGGGTCGACTCGATGGCATACAACAACTCCTCTCTCTCTCTCTCTCATACGTTACCATCCTTCAGGACAGAAAGGTCTACATAATGTTACTTTAGGAAATCATGTCATACACAGGACGCTGCTCCTCAGAACCCTCAGAAACCTGAACACCCAGCTCAGCCTCAAACCTAACCCCAGCACATGCTCCAGCACTCAGAGGTTCACAGACGCTTTTCATGTCACTTGGAGCCGCCTGCAGAGTGAATGAATGCTTCTCCTTTTTCATTTCAGAAAATAGAAGTGGTACTACCGGTGCGTTTTTGGAATTCAAACAGCTGACGATGCAGTTCCCAAAGCTAAGCACACGGCGTTTCCCTAATATTCCCAGGGCACTGGCATTCTGAGCGCACAAGAGCCTCTTCCGGGTGTGAGCCCGCCCCTGAGCCCGCTGTGACGCTCCTCGAACGTCTGGGTCCCGAGGACGACGGGGTCCTTGTGCACCAGCCGGAAGGAACCTGGCGGACGGAGCCCAGTGCGGGGAATGCTGGGTCCGAGCCTAGACTCGGCCTCCAATGACTGTGTGACCAGCACGGCCACGGAGCCCCTTCTGCCTCAGTTTCCTCATCCACCCAGTAGGAACAAAAGCTCACACGAGATGACTCTGTGAGTGCTCTTTGAGTGTTAAAACACAAACAAACTGCAATTATTAGTATTCTGACAACACATATGGAAGCATTCTAACAATGTATTACATGCAAACTTAGGTTAATACATTTTAAACTCTAGAGGAAATTGGATAATTTTCTAACAAAATACAGATTACTAAATTTAACTTAAGTATTAGAAAACCTGAATAGACAGGTAACCACAGAAGAAATTGAGAAACTTGAAAGATCTACCATCTACCCTTAAAAAGGTGTCAAGCCGAGATGGTTTTAAAGACATGTTGTATCTGACCTTCAAGGAAGAGGTATTTTTATATTAGTCAGATTATCCTAGAACACAGAAAGAGATATATAAGATTTCAATTCATTGTGTATTACCCTACGTTATGGATTGAACTGTGTCCCCACTCCTCCCCCTAAAAAATATATGTTGAAGTCCCGACCCCTGTACCTGTGGTTGTGATCCTGTTTGGAACTAGAGTTTTCCTTTTGTTATACTAATGAGCTCATAGCAGAATAGGGTGGGTCCCAAACCTAATCACTTCTGAGTTATTAAAAAAGCAGAATAGAACAGACACACAGATGGGGGTACAGACAATGGAGACGGACGCACATTCAAGTCCAGGAACGTCAGGGATTGGCAGCCATCACCGGAAACTAGGAGAGGCCCACAGAGGGAATCAAATGCTGAATCAAGATCCTGATTTGGACTTCTAGCTTCCAGAACAGTGAGAAAATGAATTTCTGTTCTTTAAAGCCACCCACTTGTGGCACTAGGAGACCCAGACAGAGTCTAATGGGCGTCTTAGATTTAACATGTCGGAGCCCAGACTCTGCATTCTGCCCCTCCTCTACCCTCAGCCTGCCACTGTCACAGCCGCCACCACCACCACCACCACCACATGGTCCTCCCCGGGCCTCCATCTCCAGAAATGTAAACTCTGCCTTGCCCGTTGCTCAGGCTTGGAGTGGTCTGTGA